CTTCTGTATCGAATATTTTCTTCCTTTTGTCTTTTCTGCTTCACCACACCCAGATCCTTATCACCTTGTACACATGAGACTGAATCAAAAAAGAAACCCAGAAAAAAAAAAAAAAAAAGCAGAGAAGGCTAGTTGTAAGCTACTGAATTTGCTTTCATGTGTGACATTTTTAACCTAAAACTTGAGTGACCCCATCTGATGAGGAGACCCACAAACATCTTGGAAAAAGGCAGCATTGCTGAGAAATGCATAGTTCCCAGACCCTTCTCNTCTACTAAATGACCAATTGTCTTTCTCCTTCTGTATCGAATATTTTCTTCCTTTTGTCTTTTCTGCTTCACCACACCCAGATCCTTATCACCTTGAAAAAAAAAAAAAAAAAAAAAAAAAAAACCAGAAAAAAAAAAAAAAAAGGCAGAGAAGGCTAGTTGTAAGCTACTGAGTTTGCTTTCATGTGTGACATTTTTATCCTAAAACTTGAGTGACCCCATCTGATGAGGAGACCCACAAACATCTTGGAAAAAGGCAGCATTGCTGAGAAATGCATAGTTCCCAGACCCTTCTCCAAGCAACCCTCCCGGCAACCCCCAACCAATGCCCAACACACATACACACACACACACACACACACACACACACACCTACCCTACCTTTGACAGAAACAAATAACCAAATCCTGGGGTTAGAGAAAGCGTGCCATCATGCCCTACTTTCTAGTGGCCTCTACGCTGGGTTCCTGCTGAGAAAGAAAATAAGAGCAGCCCCTGACAGTCAGAAACTCGCCTGCACTTGCACCTATAAACAATCCTATCAGATGCAAACAGTCTCACAGAACACCGACTTCAGATGAGGTCACATAAAATGAGGCAAAGCAAGTCCACTTCATCTTATCCAAGCACAAATACAAGGTCACTGGGCCACCTGCAAAATACCAAACACACCCAATGTGGCTAAAATAAGTGACTGCTATGAGTTTACCAATTATAGCTCTGTTCTCCTGCTAGTCTCTATGAATAAAATGTAGACACACTTACAGAATTGCCTCCACTTTCTGATAATGTCCAAATATCCAAACTCTGCTTGCTTAGGCCCTCCCCAAATGACCCAACCAAAACCCAAATGCCATAATAGGTTCAAACCCCCTTTTCCTAAGACACCTCCTGGTTCCCTATTGTGTGCTCTCCCTCACTGGAAGTCTTAATCCCAATTTATTTAACTGCAAATGTGTTCCTTGGCTTTGAAGGGCATAGCCACTCCAACTGCCCATCCCTATTTCCTTTCATGGCATATCTGTTGGTTTGTTACCATGAAGTAGTTAAGAACACAAGCCCTGGAATCAAATATCTGGCTCTAAATCCCAGCTCTGCATGACTTTGGCAATTTACTCAACCTCTTGGAACCTGTTTCAGGAAAACAAGTCTCTCCCCAAAGGAGACTGAGAGGACTAAGTAAGATATGTCAAGTGCATTAGAATGGTAACAGGCTATAAGAGATGCCAATAGGAAGTTATACCATAAATCTGGTCTATAGAACTCTGCTTGGCCCATAATCCCTGGATACATGCCAACTAATGTCATGTTGCTTCAATTTATTACAATAAGCTTGATAACCAAATATACAGCCCAAATTTACTGGCCCTGAAACAACAGCCATGAGTAATAGCTTTTTAGCAAAACTCCTACTCCATGGTGGAAGAATGTACTAGGGCTGTCAAGATAAAGCATTTTAATGGATACATCTCATGTTCTGTATATTATTTCTAGAATCTTAGCTACAGATGAGATCTATGTCCTTCCTGCCCTCACAGAGAAATCTCAATCTCCTGACAAAGTGATATTCAGGGTAGGGGAACATAAGACATTGGAGTCAAGAAAGACTTGGGTTCAAGTGACTTATCTTGTCCTCTTACCAACTTGGTAAGTTACATAACTTGAATCTGTTTTTTTCTTTGCAGTACATACATACCTACAGGGCTACTGGCAAGATAAAATCAAAACACACACACACGCACACACGGAACTTGGCCAATATAGAGCAAGCATTCAATTATTATTATGACCCACCCTTCACCAACCTCTCTTCCAAGGCCCAAAATTACACACACACACACACACACACACACACACACATGGTTTGATTTTGAGTTTTCAACTTCAACAGTCATCAACAGAAGAATGGAGTCTTTGTTGGTACAGTCAAGCCCCTGAGAGTGAGACCCTCTCAGCTAGTCCTTTGTGAATACCTTTCAGACCTATGAGGGCCTCTCGGCAGGTAGAAGATGATCTTTAGTGTACTTAAAACCAGTGATGGTGGCAATAGCTTAAATATCTAAGGTACTCAGGATTAGTTTTAAAATTTGGAATGTGATTGGCAAAAAAGTACTTATGAAATATACCTAAATATGTTCCATCTTATAGAACATGTTAATGGCTTTTGAGAAGAACTGTGTATGTACAAAAATTGGAGAAAGTGGAGGTTTTGAGTCTAGCAGAAAGTATCTTTCATCTCTCTCAAGAGTCCATCCACAGAGCATTTGGGGCCCCTCAGGAAACCTGTCCAATAGGGGTTTGAGTGGAAGTGAGGGGGCTAAGGGCAGAAAAACCAGGGAGGGAGTCAGGAAAAAAGTTTAGAGACCAGAGAATAAAACATACTCACTCATACTCACTTTTTAGATAGTACCAAACTTCTCTGGGAAATAGGACAGGGATATAGATACAGGAAAACTACCTTTGAAAATGAGATAAGCTGTGTGCCAGAGTGGCTTAGTGGTTAAGCATCTGACTTCGGCTCAGGTCCTCATGTTACAGTTCGGGAGTTCGGTTCCTGCATTGGGTGAGCCTGAGCCCTGCTTCAGGTGAGCCCCACTTGTCTCTCTCTCTGCCCTCACTCATCTGTTCCAGGAAGAAAGGGAGGGAGGGAGGGAGGGAGGAAGGAAGTAAGAAAAATGAGAGAAGCCGAGATGCAGGCAATGTGGTCTTGAAGTCAGGAGACCTGAGTGTGTGTCCGGACTCTACCATTTACTAGCTGTGAGATTTCTGGCAAGTTCCCCACCCGTTCAGAATCTACTTCCTCATTTACCCTACTTATCTCAAGGGTCAACAGGATCAATAAAGTGTGTATACAAACATCACAAAGCATAAAGCATTATAAAACTGAGTGGCAGTGTGAGAAAAAATCAGCAAAAAGTTTTGAAGTAGCCCGCTCTTCCAAGTATTTGTGATGTCCAAATAGACTGCACTCCTATAATCCTTAGCAATGACAGTAGGCAGATTTACAGAGCTCAGAAAGCTTGGCCTCTTTGTTGAAGTTGACAATGAAAACATACAGGGTAGGAATTGGGAAAACTTGGTTCCTCTAAGGCCAAGCTCCTCTGCCCAGCTGTGAAGGGAAGCAGGTGGACGGCAGCCATGAGCAGGCAGGTGTTGCACCCCAGTGCAGGTAAAGTGGCATGGTAGGGAAATAGAGGGTTTTTTTTTTTTATGTTTATTTTTGAGAGAGAGAGAGAGAGAGGAAGGAGCAGAGAGAGAGAGACAGAGACAGAGACAGAGAGGAAGGAGCAAAGAGAGAGGGAGATGGAGAATCTGAAGCAGGCTCTGCATTGTCAGGGCAGTCAGTGCAGAGCCCAACACAGGGCTCAGACTCACAAACTGTGAGATCGTGACCTGAGCCAGGGTCCAACACTTAACTGACTGAGCCACCCAGGCACCCTGAGGTCTTAAAAAATTCTATTCCACTTTGAGAAGTTTCACAATGAGTCACTTAAACGGACTGGTGCATTATCTTGCTTGCAAGATTGATCTGAATAGTAATAGGCATAGGTCAGTGGTTTCCAACGTTTAAAAAAATGCAGATGCCTATTAGTCACTGAAAACACACAGTATTTCCACATGGTAGCAGCTGTATTCTGTTGCCATTTGGTAAAAAACTGAATTCTCAAATATGGATCCTCAAATTCCTTGCACATATTGTTCTCTTCCTTTACCCTCCCAACCATGACCAGGGACCCACAGCCTCCAAAGTGGGGATCTTGGCATGAGCTCTTGACAATTACAACAGTGCAGTCTGCATATGATTATAATTAAGAGAATAGGGGGCAGGATGCTAAAGAGTCTGAAGAAAAGAGAGAGAATAGGAACATGAAGACCATCATTATTCTCTTTCTAAATGAAGAAAAAACACAGCTTTTACTTGTCCCTACTAAGTTAAATGTAAACCAGGCCAGCCCTAGTTAAACCTGTCCTATCTATAAAATGCATTTTCCTTTCAAATTCTCGTTCCCCACTTGCGAGGTGACTGCTCCCTTTCTTGGGAGCCCCAAACCCTCCTATTCCCTCCCTCTCCCTGTTTGGGAAGAACATTATTTACACTTATTGGCTAGCACTCATTCATGTTAAAGTTTAACAATTAAAGTGTCATATAATAATGATGGATGGAGAGACCCTGGAGCACACTTGCATAATGCTTGCTTAAAAACATCCACATCTACATTATTTATGTGTCCATTCACTCACACAAACAAAATACTATTTCTGTTCTGACCCAGAATCCATCTCCTATTACCTTCCTCAGATAATCCTCTCACATTGCGGCCCCCAACCCCAGGAAGCTCAGCAGTACTGGTGGCTTCCCCCGCAAATCACTGCCACTGCCCAAGTCAGTGCCACAGCCCCATCTTCCTTCCAAATCAAAGGCTTCCCAAGCCCAGGCCTCCACCCCTCCTATCCTATAACCAACCAGGTGTGGGCCTGTGGCTGCACCCAGTATTGATGGAGGGCAAGGAGCAGGCACAAGATAATGAAGAGAACAAAAGCATGATGTGGCCCAGGAGGTGAGACACAGGCACCGGCCATAGGCCTGGAGCCAGGAACAGAAGGATAAAAAAAGAGAGTGAGTAAGGGGACCCCATCTCATTTGCCTTTAAACTGCTGAGGATTATGGATACGGAAATGAACACATCTACAGGCCTCAAACAACAGTAAAACACCAAAACTGGGCACCAAAAGCTTTTCCATATTTTACTACAGAGGTACTTTCGATCTTTTATTAGTTAATATGTAATCTGTAAATGGCTAATTCAGATCCTACATGTACAAAATCATTTTTACAAAAATATTTTAAAAACTAGTAGATGATGTGTTCCCTGCTGGGCTATTCCTGGAAGGCGTGTCTGGACAGGTGACCCCAGAACAGGGTAGCAGCAGCGGTGACCAGCACAGCCGTGGCTGCTTCTCCATCACTGTCCTCCTCCCAACATTTCATCCCCGAGTTTACCGCATCTGGATTCTTCCCCTCTCCTCTCTTCTGCAGCCTTCTTCCCACCTGGGACCCAGCTCTTCACAGACGACCATGCAGGATAAATGAATAACAAACAGACTTCTTCGTACCTTTCTACCACAGATGAGAACAATTCTGGTTCTCTGAGACATTCAGCAATCTTATTTCCTATGGGCTTTCTTAGCCCGTAATGTATTACTTCAAACTTAAAGTTCTCAGGGAGCTAGGCTTCATGGTATTCTTTGAATCGTCCTTTTATACTCAGTCCTTCAAGTATCTGTATTACAAGATTTAACACTAAAGGAAAAAAACAGCCAAGAAAGCTATCTTCTTTCAATTGTTTTACGTTCCATATTACTAGGAGCTCTGCTAAGAAAATACAAAAAGGAAAAATTCAGCTCAATAACTAGCTGCAACAAGTTCTTAATGTGTGCTACTAGAGAAAGTCTCTAGTCCAAAATTATTGCAATAAAATATTCAGTTATTCCAAATGTCACCAAGATCCAAGGTCATGCACCAGTCCAGAAATCCACTGTGATGTTGGTATATAAAGGTTTATAATCCACAGAGAGTAATTTATAAATACAACTAGTCAATCCATCTGTTCTCCAGACTCGTGACACCTGATGTAAGAGCTTCATCCTAAGGATAAAAAGAACAACATAAATGGTAATGCAAGAATTTAACATACATTTCCATTACTTTTTGCCCAGCCCCCAAATTTGGCAAAAGCATCTTTGTAAATTATCGTACCTGCTGGGTTTCCTATTGCAAAAAGTTAATTTTCCCCATCTAAAGTAACAGGACACCAATGATAGCCATGTATTCACGTGTCAGACCTCATGTTAAGACCCTAGGGACCCATGATGAGAAGAGTCAATGCAACCTGTCTACAGGACGGAAGGATGCACAAGTAACACGGACACAATGCTATACACGCCCTCCACTGCTAACAGGTCTTTGGCTAAGCTTCAGGGGATCTATGAATCCTCCCATTAGTACTGTCTGTAGGCAGGAGGGTATACAACTCTCCTAAGAGTCTCAAGAAAAACCAGAATATACGTAGAAGAGGATGAATGAAGCAGAACCTGACATCATGAGGGAGTCTGGGGAGGGGGCGCAGAGAAAGTAGACATGACTGAGGCTTAGAAGAGAAGAAAGGTGCAGGAAAAGACAACCAGGCAGGGCCATCACCCTGTGCAAGAGGCAGAGACTTGCAAAGCAGCAGGATGCACTTCAAGCAGCAGCAACAACTGCATGGCTGGAGCCTGGGGATGTGGGGAGTGGAGGAGGTGGTGAACTGAATTGGTCTCTAGGAACTTGGAGTGAAAAGCAATACGTTTCAGTGACAGGATCAATGTGGAGAGAGACCAGAAACACCATGAGCTAAGTAAGGTCGGAGAAAAATAATACAGTAAGATTTCACTTGTATGAAACTGAAAAACAAAAAACTAAATGTTTTTTTTACAGGGATATATACCTCTGGGAAAACAACAATAACAACAACAACAAAAAATTTAACAGCAGAAATAATGATCATTATCACAAGTAATTATCACAAAAATTCAGGAAAGCGTGACCTCTTGGGGTGGGGGAAGGAAATGGGTCTGGAGGCATTACACGGGTAACAAATATAAATTGGGTGGTGGGCACTACCACTGTTCATGGTATCAAAGAATCTTCACACTTTTCAGACAATTTACAAGTATTATTTTGCATCTATTCCATAATTATTTTTTTGATTTAAAGAGCAAAATGCATCCCTAATAGACAAAGACTAGAAAGACACATGGAAAACAGAAATAGCTGTTTTATTAAAGTCGCAGATTCTAATAAATGGGCTAAAAGCCTTTTTTTATTTTTATTGTTTTAAATTTAAATCCAAGTTAGTTGGATACACTATAACATAGAGTAATTATGATTTCAGGAGAATTAAGTGATTTATCAGTGCTCATCCCAACAAGTGCCCCCCTTAACACCTTAATGCCCATCACCCATTTAGCCCATTTCTCCGCAACCCAACACCCCACCAGTAATCTTCAGTTTGTTCTCTGTATTTAAGAGTCTCTTATGGTTTGTCTCCCTCTCTGTTTTTATATTATTTTTGCTTCCCTTATGTTCCTCTGTTTTGTATCTTAAATTCCACAGTGAATGAAATCATGATATTTGTCTTTCTCTGACTGACTGATTTCACTTACAATAAACTCTAGTTCCATTAAAAGACTTCTAATATTGTTTTAAAGTATAAACTCTAACAAAGCCCTATAATATTTTAATAGTTTTTTAAATGTCTTTTATTATTTATTTCTGAGAGAGACACAGAGTGCGAGTGAGGGAGGGACAGAGAGAGAAGTAGACACAGAATCCAAAGCAGGCTCCAGGCACTGAGCTGTCAGCACAGAGCACAACATGGGGCTTGAACCCACAAACTGTGAGATCATGATCCGAGCTGAAGTCAGACACTTAACTGATTAAGCCACCCAGTCACCCCTAATATTGTTTTCAAAAGGTAGACTCTAACAAAGGGACTAAAAGCACATTAATATGGTTTTAAGATGTAGAAGAAAAAATCAGAACAAAGAACTGTAGGTTCTTCAACTACAGTCACATAAAGAACTAACTGGCTTATCTGTCGGGTTCTTGAGTGAATGGGCCAATTTTTGGGGCAAAAGAAGTATATGGTAAGCCTAGAACAGCTCATCACACAGGAGCACAGGGATTGGAGCTCTCAAAACTAGTGTTAGTTATGTCAAAGGACTCGGGAGTCAGCTTGAAAAAGATCTCACTTCCCAACGATGAGACAAACTGAGCACTGAAAAGAATATTAACTACATCCTGAAGGATGCTGGGGAACATCAAGTGATCATTTTGAAAAATGAAAACTCAGTACTGACTCTTTCTCTTTATCTGCCTTTTCTATAAGAACCATACCTTGGCATACTCAAACAGAAGAGGGCAAGGCCTTCTTTGCAGAAAAATCTATCTAATAAATGCAGAAGGCCTGATAGAATATCAGAATTTTGTCATTCCTAATTGAATAATAAACTTATTCAATGAGCACCAATGGTTGCTAAAACCATCAGGTGAAAGACTGATGGGGAACCTGGATAGGACTGATAATATCTAAACACACACATCAATCTTAATATCACAAAGACCCAACCAGCCATCACGTCTTCCTGTTGTGACATAAGAAGAGAGATGTGACATCACTATGAAGTGTTCTAACCCCCAGATACTACTGCAGGCTGTTCAAGCCTCCAGATCTAACTCCCAGCTTACAAGGAAACATAGAGGTCAGAAGCATTTATGAAGGTATACCAGCGGGATGCAAGTCACAAAATCCACAAGGTATGAAATTACAGGAGGCAAATGACCTGATTTGTTCAACAAATAAAATGCAGTGGGTAAAAGGTAGAAGAGAGATAATCTACAGATTGGGAGATTTTTCAGAGAGATCATCCAAATGCAATGCGTGGACTTTGTCTAGATTCTGATTCGAATAACCAACTGGTAAGGAAAAAAAATTATGAGATGATCAGGGAAATCCAAACACTCACTGGATATTTGATGATATTAAGGAAGTACTGTTAATTTCACTTTAAGTACAATAATGGTATAGTGGTTCTTTCTTTAAGACTTCTTATATGGAAGGATACATACTGAAGTATTTTACACAGGAAATGCTATGGTATCTAACTTGCTTCTAAATAATCTAGTGGGTGAAGAGGAAAAAGCAGGAGGAGGAAGAGAGGAAGAGGACATGAGTTGGTAACTGTTGAAGCTAGGTATGGGGTACATGAGGGTTCAGTATACCACTCACTCTACTTTTGTGTCTGTTTGAAAATTGCCTTAATAAAAAGCTTTGAACAAAAGAAACTGGCTCATCTGACTGAATTTGGCAGAGTCCTCACTGACAGAAGAAATTAAGCAGGTAGCCTCCCAGGTATATGAATCCAGGACTTACCGTTCTATATTCACCTCATTGCCCCTATCTCTAGTGTGGAAGATCATTGTATATTTACCCACGTCAGGCATTGGCCGGATTATTTTCATTCTATGAAGCTCAACCCTAGAAGAATAAGAGAAGTATGTTTTTAAAAAGTCTATCCCACTTAATCTACCACTAGGTACATAAAAAACATCACTTATAAAACTTTACATACGTGTTCACACACGTGTACAGTCACACAGAGCTTCATTATTAGGAATATTAGAATATTAAAATTAGGATAAAAAAAGAATTTTTTAACATCGGGCCTCAGGCACCAAGTCTATAAAAGAATCACAGTTTTTAAAAAAAGAAAAATAAATAAAAGAATCACATTTAACATTTATTATTGGGGTACAAAGGGGAGGTGTCAATTTATAGTTTGTCATTTTCTAAAACACCTGAAAAAGTACTTATTATAATTGTTTTAAAACACCATGACAGGGGCACCTGGGTAGCTCAGTCAGTTAAGCATCCGACTTCGGCACAGGTCATGATCTCGCGGTCCATGGGTTCGAGCCCCGCATCGGGCTCTGTGCTGACAGCTAGCTCAGAGCCTGGAGCCTGCTTCACATTCTGTATCTCCCTCTCTCTCTGTCCCTCCCCAGCTCGTGCTCTCCGTGCTCTCTCTCTCTCTGTCTCAAAATTAAATAAACGTTTAAAAAAAATTTTTTTTTAAACCATACCATGACAAATAGGAAAATCAAGTCTCTTAAAATACCTAATTTATTTAGTGTTTCCTTTTTGTAAACAAAGAAAGTAATGACCACTTAAGGTCCCAAGCTTTAAGGCCTACAATCCCAGGTACAAATTTAGGCTTTGTTATTTATAACATTGGTAAGTCAGTTCCTTACTCCAGGTCATGGATTCTTCATTGCAAAATGGCCGTGGTGGTATAGATATGACAGGCCCAAATCAGACAGTCTGCACGGAGCCTGCTTTGCAAACTTGTAATTTTTTTTTGTAATTTCTTTGCACATAAAAGTGCAAAGAATGGTGGTGCCTACTGCCCAGGTGAATAAATAAATCTCAGGCAACTTTTACGTTCAAATCATTGGTTTATTCATAGCTACTTGTCAAGAACCACTCTGGAGGCCATGATGGTTTTCTCAGATGAAAGAAAAACTGGGGTCTCCCCTCTGTCTTCAAGCTGAGGAGGATCGAGGAGATAGTAAAGTCACATAATACATGCAAGACTCTATTAGTCATCCCATCTGGACAGTGAAATGATTTGGGGAACCTTAGGAATACTCTTTATCTCTAGTCCTTGCTACCCTTGCCCAGAAATCTATCAGGTACCCTCTGTCTACTTCATAAGCCAGAGCCACACAGGCTGCTGATGGAACAGGCCATAAAGTGCTGATGCCCATCACTCTGACCACGCATATGGAGCCTATGCTGAGGGAAATCCATTCTCTCCTGCCAGAAACATTCCAGAGGCTCTCAGCCTAGACATGGGAACAAGACCAACATGGAGCCCTGGCTTCTTCACACTAAAGCACTGGAACATTTCTGGCAGTGACACATCTATTACTTCAGAACCCCAGCTAAGAAATGTCCTTTCTAAGAGGCAACAGTACAAGGAAAGAGGGTCTCCCAATAGCCCCCAAAGCCTTGTTATTAGAAGTCTGAAGATACTAGCCTCAGGCTATTGAATACTTATTCTTGGGAGCTAGGAATAAGACTGGGTCACAAAACGCAAGTTTGGGAGGAAGGGGCAGAGCTGAGAGAGGAGGCTCCCTTTGAGCCCCCAGAGCAGAAAGTAGTGCAAGAGAATCAGAGGGTAATGCCAGCAGCCCCGAATTTGTCCACAGTGTCAGGCCAGCAGCTGCTCCCAGTGTGGGGGGCTAGTTAATGCATAAGGGTAAAAGGGCATCCCGGCTGATCCTGGGTGTGCCACTTCTTACAGGCTGTTGGCACTCTCTGCTCTGGAAACTGAGAACTGTGCCAGGATCCCCTGGCGTCGGATCAAAAGCGCAGGCTTACAGGGGCGCCTGAGTGGCTCAGTTGGTTAAGCATCTGACTTCAGCCTAAGTCATGATCTCACAGTTCCCAAGTTCCAGCCCCGCATCAGGCTCTGAGCTGACAGCTGTTTCAGACTGTGTGTCTCTCTCTCTACCCCTCCCCCAATCAGACTCTGTCTCTCTCTCTCAAAAATAAATATTAAAAAAAAAAAAAAAAAAAAGTGGGGCGCCTGGGTGGCTTAGTCGGTTAAGTGTCCGACTTTCGCTTAGGTCATGATCTCGCGGTTCGTGGGTTCGAGCCCCGGGTCGGGCTCTGTGCTGACTACCAGCTCAGAGCCTGGAGCCTGTTTCAGTCTGTGGCTCCCTCTCTCTCTGACCCTCCCCTGCTCACGCTGTTTCTCTCTCTCTCTCCTAGAAATAAATAACACATTTAAAAAAAACAAAAAACAAAAACAAACAAACAAAAAAACAACAGGCTCTCTGACCACTTTCCTCAAATTGCAGTTTTGCAGAGTTCTGGACCCTGCCCGTAAGTAATACCCACCAAGTCTGCAGAGACACCCCCCACCCCCCCTCCATCAACACATCTGGTCCCTAAACACCTGCAAACCAGAAACAAATGATGCTCCACCATTCCTGAACTACCAACGGCAAACAGCAATTTGGGCCATCCTTCCCTCCCCCTGCCCCCTGCCCCCCTTTAAGCCTGACTCCACGGTCTCATGACCTGCTGGACTGGCATCTAGGGGAACTATCCACAAACGCGGGTTTCCAGAGCCACCACTGACAGATAGCAGAGCCCCATGAAGGGGACCTATCCCTGTTGTTCACCTGAGTCTGAGGTCATCGTCTTCGCCTCCCCATCCCCAGTAGTTGTTAGAGAATCCATTCACCTTGAAAAACTGCTCTCTGCTAAGGGCAGTAACACCCCCAAAATATCCATTGTAACGTAACCTGCAGCAAAAGAGAGGAGAGAAAAGGTAACATTAGCACGAGGCCATCTGTTCTCCACACACTGCAGAAGTCTCTAGTTTCAGGGCTGGCATTCTAGGCACACTCTGAGGACCATGCACTTTCTTCCATCCACTCCTACTTGACATCCACCTCCCACCGTTCCTGGCCTTCCCTGTCTGCTCTTCTTTCCTTAAGTGCTCACATCTGCTCACTAGGCAAAGTGTTATGTGAATGTTTGTGTGCGGAGGTCTACAGAGGTACCTGTAAATGTGCAGCATAACGTCAGCGCTGAACGACAGATTTCACCTCATGTGCCAATCCGGTGAATAGTAACGCTGCCAAGGGCACTGGGTTAAGGAGGATTCTGAGGCAGCCTCCAGGTTCAACATGATAGAATACCATAGTGAATATACTGGTTTTTTTTACTTTTACTTTTTTTAATGTTTTGTTTATTTTTGAGAGAGAGAGAGAGAGAGAGAGAGAGAGACAGCAGGAGCAGGGGAGGGTCAGAGAGAGAGGGAGATACAGAATCTGAAGCAGCATCCAGGTTCTGAGCTGGCTGTCAGCACAGAGCCCGATGCAGGGCTCGAACCCACGAACCGTGAGATCATGACCTGAGCCTAGGTCGGCCGCTTAATCGACTGAGCCACCCAGGCGCCCCTACTTTTACTTTTTTTTGGAGGGGTGGGGTGGAGAGGAGACAGGTCCTGTACACTTGATATGCAAACTCTAAGTCTGTGCATGCAAATCTCCATCTCATTGTCTGCATCATGGAGGAGCCAATGCACCTCAACAATCCTGAGGTTTCTGACTTGGGTAACAAGGTAGATGATACAGTCTTTTTAAAACAAACAAACAAAAAAACCCCACAGTACACAGAACAATAAGAGGAAGACAGTATATCATGTTTTGGATATGCTGAATTTGAGATACCCCTGGTGCTTTTGCTAATGGGCAAAAGGATATAGGGTTCAAGATCAAAAGAGAAGAGTGGCTACAGATATGGCTTTGGAACTAAGATGTCAAGAGGCAGTAGCTGAAGGGGCAGGAGAAGGAGACATTGCCTGAAGACAACACAGTCGGTGACAAGAGAAAAGAGCACAGAGTGGAGCTATGTGGATATTGATAAGAAAAAGAGAAGGGAGAAGAGGTAAAGAAGGGCCTTGAGAGGTCAGAGAACACCTCCCAGTCATATGGACTCATATGGATTATTGGCACACAAATTAGCAAATCTGAGAAATAAACATCACACTGTAACAATTCAGAAATGCAAATGAAGGCAGCTTAATAACTTAGATGTTACTGAATAAAAAGATATAAATATATGGAAGATTTCTAACTTTAATTAACTTCACTTTAATTAACTAACTTTAATTGGTATTCCAGGACCAATTAAATATTTCTGCTTTTCTAGATAAGAAAAACCAAAAGGAGGGGCACCTGGGTGGCTCAGTAGGTTAAGCAGCCGACCCTTGATTTCGGTTCAGCTCACGGTCTCACATTTGTAAGATGGAGCCCCATATCGGGCTCTGTGATATAAGGAGATGGCTTGGGATTCTCTCTCTCCCTCTCTCTCTATCTCCCTACCCCACTTGCACTCTCTCTCAAAATAAAAATAAACTTAAAAAAACAAAGGAAAGATCAATAAACACATAGACATTGCTATCTCACAGGTGGAGTCAGTCCCAAAAGCCAATTTGTAGTTATTTCTATGTTCTGAGTATAGACAGGCAAGTCCTATTTAACCTACAATGGAAATAGATTTACTTGTAACCCCTCAATCTGAAATTCTAGAAGATGGTATTACAACAACCTAAATAAACAAAAGGAATGTCAGGTTCAGAAAGCAGCTGTTACTGGCCAAGACACCTACTGCAGTGACTTGTAGCCATGACCACTGGACTCTGAAGGACCTGAGGCCAGCAGTTTCATCAGGACACTGTGCAGCACCACTGCCCAGGCACAACCTGCCAAGCACCAACAAGGGGTCACTGGGAGAGAACCAGCATTACTGATTTGGGAGTGATCTATTAAATAACCACTATCCACTATGGGCAAGACAGACCCCAGACGCTGTAACAGGTGGGCCCTGCTCTCAAAGAGCTTATAGTCTAACACAAGAGGTGAGCTTCATGAGCATCCTGAGGAAGGAGAGGCCAGGCATCGGGGGCAGGCTGGTGGGCCTGGGAGGATTCAGATAGGTAGGAAAATGGGGAAACTCTTGGTGGCCAGAATTCCATGAGGAAAAGTGGAGAGAGTCGCAAATGCGGGCTGTCTGGGAGCATCTGGAGAGCAGTGTAGCCGCAGTGAGAGGTGCAGAAGGACACAGCCAGAAAGAAAGGTTTAAGGAACTCTCAGTTTCTCAGCTGTTTCTTAGATGGCAAATGTCTACCTGTTGATCTTGGCTTTTGGTTTTTCTTATCAGGGAAAGCACAAATATTAAATTGGCCTTGGAACAGCTGGTTTTTTTTTTTTTTTTAAAGGGCTGTAAGGCCCAACGGTAGGGAAAATGTAGCCATAAAAGAACAGTAGAGTCCTTGAAGAAAGCAGTCAGTTACCAAAGGAATTCTTGGCAGTAAAATTTGCCACTGGCTGGTCCAAGTCTTCGAAGTCACTGATCCATAGTCAGGAAGATAAACAAGATTAATTTCTGGCCACATTAGAGTCTGAGACAGTTTCGGCAAGTTACTTCAAGTTCTTCCTTCTGGAGGGTGTGAACTTCTCCCGTGGTAACAATGATTAAAGCTAAAGCTGTGGGGTTTTAATCTCTGTGCCTCAGTGAAACATAGTTACCATCAGGGAGCAGACACCTAGCTGCTTTCAACCCCACCTGCTCTCCTGCAGGCAACTAGAGAGATTTTGCCCAAAGTAGCAAAGGTAACAAGTAGGGGAGGGAGGGTTAGAGCAATTCCTACATTACCTGTTATGACCTCTCTCTGGACACAGAAGATGAGGCAGTTTACATGATATATACAATGAAGTAGAAAAATGTAAAAAACAACAAGGACCAGAGGAAAACTTAAAACAGAATAGAAGATTAACATGGGAAATATATTAGAACTCTGATCTACAAATAAGATTCTTCTCAGCTCCTAAAAAAAGGCCATGGGTTTGACTCAGAACTTCTTACATCCAGATCAGAAGAGGAGACATATTCAATCACGTGATTCCTATTAAGAAAACCCCACCGGTTACTCAAAGAAGACAAAGGCTCTCTGTTATCTAGTTACAAAAGAAATGTCTGGCCAGTTACAAGAGCAAATCAAAACATCAAGATTCGGGGGCGCCCAGGTGGCTTAGTCGGTTAAGCGTCCGACTTTCGCTTAGGTCATGATCTTGCGGTTCGTGGGTTCGAGCCCCGCGTCAGGCTCTGTGCTGACTGCCAGTTCAGAGCCTGGAGCCTGTTTCAGTCTGTGATTCCCTCTCTCTCTGACCCTCCCCTGCTCACGCTGTCTTTCTCTCTCTCTCTCTCTCCTAGAAATAAATAAAACATTAAAAAAAAAATCAAGATTCATACAGGGGCTGTTTTTAGAGTAAGTAGCATCTGATAAGATCCATGATTATGGCACTGAAGCTTTGCTGAAAACTTCCCTGATTTCCAGCAGGGAAGCCCAAGAACTCAGTTTCTTGTGGTCCAGATAAATTAAAAAAAAAAGAAAAAAAATCTAGAATCCCAACAGAAAGCCTTTAAACAATCTGTGTATCTACAGTCTAAAACAAACAACAAAAACAACCTTGTTGTTTTCAACACAGATGTTCAGAAGGAATTGGATCCTATGAAAGCGTCAAAGTACAGGTATTCCGTTATAGACATGGTGATAGTTTATTAATTTTACACAGATGGCAGACATGCTTCTGCAAATGCCAAGGTATCCCAACATAATACGCTGTCTTCTTCCATGCAGAGCTGGCTCAAGGAGACCAGAAAACAAAACCTCCGGGTAAGGATATAATTCCCCAAAGGAAAAAAATCTGTGATTCTTTTCCAGACCCCTCCCCTGCCCTCTGGCCCCACTGCCTCTGCCTAATTTATCAGCAAGGCATCTCCTCTCCCAGCTTCTCCCCTCTGCCTTGCTCCACTCAATACACTAACGGCCAGCACTAAGCTTTCACCTGTCATTCTTCAGCTGTAACCATGTGTCAGAAGCCCCTGGGTCCCTTCCACAGGAAATCCAACTTCCTTAGCAGACTGAACGAGGTCTGCATAGTCTGGCTCCTGCCTATTCTCATCTCTTGCTTCTCCTCTCTCCACCATCCCAGACATTCATTCTCAAGCCCTAATGAACTGCATTTCTCCCCAAAACCAGGCCATGCTTTCTCTTGCTTCCATGTCTTAGAAGCTAGAAAGCTCCCACTGTTGCACAAGACAAAGGTGCCACGTTCCCTCGAGAAGAGCTTTAGACCCTTCCATAAGTGTTTCTTAAAGACCCTGTGTGCTCACCCATTGTGGCTTATTCTAGACATTTGTTTATATCCCAAGTTTACACAGGGCTTGGGTTCAAAGTCAGTACCTGAGGCAAAAATCACCTACAATATTACACATGGAAACATCTTAAGTAGTCCAAAGTGAGAGATCTACACAATTTGAGAAGCACAGAAATGGAGATTAAGTAAGGGCTTCATGGTTTCTGTCTCATGTTCACTTCCCCAAGCCGACAATGGTGGAATCCCCTGTGTGACTTTATAATGTTATAATTCTCTCTCCCTGCCTCCTCCTGTCTCCCCCTCATTACCAAGTGATTACAGTAGGATTTGCAGAAGTGCAAAATCAATGCAACTTCATTGTGGCTTCCCGTCTCCCCACACCAGCTATGCAATGGGGAGCTCTCTGAGGGTGGACACTAGCCTTACTCAAACTGGTCTCATGGCCCCTAGCCCAGCAAGCACCACAGACATGAGCACACAGCAACGCAGGGCCTGGGGGATGTGGACAGATAAACGTGCACATCCGAAAGCAAACATAGTTTCATTTATGGAGGATTTCTTTGGCCACTATTTCCCCTTGGTTTTGCTTGAATAGGGGCTGGTATGAAATAAGGCTCAACAGTAGCTATGCGTCTGCTGGGAGGCAGAGGGGGTGGAAATGAAGATAGAAATGATGGTGTTTAAGCAACTCTCACAGTGACTTTAAGAGTCAGGAACTTGTCCTGGGTGTCCTGGCCCCTGAACAGGCTACTCAGTGGATATGCCCTTCCCTGCTCTCCCTCAGACCCCTGAAAAGATGCCACAGTCTGAAAAGAAAAGTCACAGTCTGACAACAGAGGCCTAAATGTTGACCTATGGGGCACGCTCTCATTTCCTGCTACAAGATGAAGTCGGGGACACCTACTCAGTGTGGACTTGCTGGTAGAAGTTCCACTGTTGGCGTGCCATGGGTGGGGCTGGCCATCATTTGCAATGCTTGGATTGCTTTCCCACTCCTGTTCTTTCCCTTTTTCTTTCATCCTCTGCCAAGGTTCTTATAATTCCTGTTTTGAATTTTAAGTGATAGGTCATGGACCATTTCTCCTATTGTTTACTTTTCTATAATAGTCTGGACACTACACCCCTCACAGCTTTGATGACATCAGAGCGAGCTTCTCAGCCTAAGCAAGCCCTGGGGCAGAGCCGCCTTACTGCTTACCTGTACCCAGTGCTGTTCCGGCCAACCACCAGATGCTTGGGCTGATCCTCACACTTATAAATGTTCAAGTCGTTCTCGGGCACCAGGTCCACATCGTGGAATATAAAGCAGTCCCAATTTTCATCCTTGAGAGCTTCTAGATAGCCCACATTCAAGAGTTTGGCTCGATTAAACTTTTTACTTCCAGCCTATAGATACAGATACAGATGTATAAACAGATATAGATATATTTATAGATATAGATGTATATAGTATAGTATAGATATATTTATAGATATAGATGTATAAATAGATATAGATATAATTTCTGTATAAATAGATACAGAAATTAAAACTTGAAAAGCTCCAGAGATAAGGTTTCTTATCCGTGCTACTCCTCAGTTCAGAGGCAAGAGCAGGTATTATTCTTTCCAAAGCACAAGAATATACTTGTGACATGAAGATCTAACAGAGCAGATGCAATAACAATAAAAGACCACTTGTTTCCTTGTGTGTGTTTTGTGGGGTTTTTTTTTTCATATACACTTATATGCTAAAAGTTATACGCATGCCTTGAAATGGACACTGTTTAATGGGTATAGAGTTTCAGTTTGGCCAGGTGGGTAATTTCTAGAGACTAGTTCACAATACTGTGAATATACTTCACCGTACTGACCTGTATACTTAAAAATAGTTAAGATGCATTTTTAGTGACTGTGAACCTGGGGAGATTCTGGCAGGGCTCAGGGCATCAGATTTCTTTGTTCCAACCTTGCCCTGAAGCCCCTCAATATAATGGTTTGATCCAAAAAACAAACAAAGTTAAAATACTAAATTTTATGTATATTTCACAATTTTTAAAAAGGTCATAGTTTTAAAATACAAATAAAAATGACTCACAAAAATTTATTCCACATAAAACTACAAACCTTCTTACATGGTAGTCATGCCAACTAACATCACTGCTTTACTGTTTAACTTCCAACTGATCCCAATCTTACCCTATGTAACAAAATTTCACTAGCTTCTAACAGACATAGCTTGCCAGAAAAAAACAAGAAATCTGGACCTATAAACAGAAGTTTTGGAGCACGTGGGTGGCTCAGTCAGTTAAGTGTCCGACTTCAGCTCAGGTCATGATCTCACAGTTTGTGAGTTCAAGCCCCGCCATCGGGTTCTGTATGACAGCTCGGAGCCTGGAACCTGCCTCAGATTCTGTGTCTCCCTCTCTGCCCCTCCCCTCCTCATACTCTGTCTCTCTCTCTCTCTCAAAAATAAATAAACATTAATATTTAATGGCAGAAGGTAATAAACAGTTTATCGTAATGAAAAGTACAGGCAATTCTCAAGAGTTACCACAGTATTTTCCTGAAAAGAATAACACAAAGCACACATTTTTTCTAGTCACAAAATACTGTACATTGAGGGTGGCTGTCCTGAGTAAGGACGGAGAATGACTAATAATGTTAAAAAGAAAAATAATTATAAACCAATAGTAAAATTTTGTTCTAAATCCTAAAAAATGGCCCATGTTTATTATAAAGTATACACTGCAGAACTATATCCTCTGATTTGCGAAAAGTTTTCCTAAAGCAAATACTGTCAGTGATAAAACAGTATGAAGCATGTGGTTAATGACTTTGCATTCTTGGCATCTGTAAGGATTTGAAGGGGAATTATTTGGATGGTCTGGGACAATCTGGGGAAGCTAGATACGGATATTTAAGTGAATGTCTTTTTTTTTTTTTTTCTAATAAACATTAATACCAAATACAGGCATCTTTCATCAGCCACTCTACTTAGAGTTAAATTCTTCAAAAGCAGCCTACACTTATCACTTACTGAATACCTACTGATTTGTCCTCTGGAAAACCAATAAGTGAGTCAGAAAAGTGAAGACTAAACATAAAATGTCTTATATAATAAAAGTTATAGGCAGAAAGAAGGAGACAGTCCTAGAATTAACACAGTATCTATTAACACAGTAATCTGTAGGATCTCCTGCCTAGATCCCCACTGAATAGCCGTGCTCCATAATGAAACATTCCAGCATCTCATCATGTAGTATATAGCAGCTATGGGAGGAAATATAAGGTAAGTCTCAGGAGAAAATATGTGGGCAGTCACTGGCTAATACGGAAGGGCTCACAACACACAAAAATAAAACAAAACAAACCAGACTTCCTCCAGAGGTTCATGTCAGAGGCAATAAAATTCCCAGCACTTAGTCTTACTCTGAGACAAGAATTTCCTTTGCTCCTTTCATGGATAAATGAGGTATGAGACCTTTTCTCTGGTGACGGTTTGGTGCTCCTTTTACCCAAGATACCTAAAGGGCCAAGTCCCTCGGTCTCTCCTCAGAGACAAGGACTGGGAGAACAGAGCCCTGGTCTGCCACCCCCTCACCTGGTGGATGATATAGATGCCATAGTCCCGCTGCTGCCTCTGCAGGAAGGGATGGAGGTGTTCGAGCAGGTACAGCAGGTGTTTCTCTCGGTTCCGGTGTGGAATGAGGATGGCGACCCGCTGTGAAGCCTTACATTCCTCGGGCTGATACCGGCCTCTGTGCACTTTGGGATTTTTTGCCTCCACCTCTTCCAGAGTGAGATCTGGTTTGAAAACGAGCTTGTTCTGGCCCCCTACGATAAAAACAGGACACAGGAAAGAACAGTAGTTATCTCATCACGGGCTGACAGGATTATATGAGCACTTACATAAAGCACTTAGGACATTGCCCAGCACACAGTGAGGACTGTGAGTATCAGCTCTTATTATTATTACTTTAAAGCCTCTTTTGGTCATGAACTGTAACCAGAGTTATGTGACCCAGGGTATTGTCTGCAAAAGCAAGTAAATGACATATGAGAGCATTCTCTTGAGGTGGGGTAACCAATTCTGGCTCTATGATTCATCCGTAAGGAAGGAGATGCATTCTGTCCCATTGGCCATGGTAAAGAGCTGAGATCAGGGCTAGACTGAGTAACCTCAAATTTGCTGAATCCTCTTTTCCCTCTCAAAATTAAAAATCAGGAGCATTCCATGAATTCAAGCTCCTGGGCAAGGCCATCTTCCCACTCTTCCCATGAGCTCCTGGGAGCTAACCTACCTCCCTGATGATAAAAACCATGAAAGGAAATAGCAGCTAGCCTCACACCTAACCCAGCAGTAACATGTAGGTGCAATATCACAATTCTCCCATTGTGCACAGTAGCAGACACCCCCAGTGGAGCCCTTGCTCAACAAGTCTGGACACAGCCTGACTGGCTGAAACCCAAGGCCATCCATGGGAACCGGATCTCATGCAAGGCTTTACAGATCAGGCTGAAGACATTGGCCCTCTTCTTCAATCTGAATTAACAGGGATTAACACTGAATAGCCGTGCTCCATAAGAGAAGAGGCAGCGCTTTGCATAGAGAACTCAGCCACACATTTTTTTTTTTTTAACTCCATATATACTGGTCAGGCCGTAACATCTCAAGATGCTTGCGTGTTGTGCCGTCCTCTCCTGAACAAAGCAGTCACAGGCCCTTCCAACGTGTAAGTCACCACGCCTTGCTCCATGTGACTACCACTGTCCCAGCCAAGGCTGCTTAGGCTTAGGCTCCAGTGTCCATGAAGAGGCTGACTCAGCCCAACAGCACTAAGGGCAAACAACTGCATCCAGCCACCTAGAGACAATAACTGGCCGATAAGAAAGAGCCTTTCCTGAAGGCATGAGACATGGAGTCAGCAGGCAGAAATGCCCTAAAAACAAATAGGAAGAAAGCAAATGACGTGAAAAGCAAGCTACCAGAGCTGCTGCCAGGCCACAGAGCAGCCGGAAGATAATGGTGTGGCTGTTGCTGTGGTTTCTCATGTAGCCTGTTCTCAAACCCCACCATGTGAGCAAACCTACGCCTCTGTTCTTGGCCCTGGAAGGAGCCCCATGCAACAAGCCTGATGTAAACTAGTACCCTTGCTCACTTTCTCACTGTCTTAACTTTACAGGTGCCCTATCCTTCTAGCACCTGCTCCCACTCACTATCAGTCTCCTACCACTACCATGGCATCTTCCCCATTCTGTTCCTCTTGGGTGACTAATGGCCCATGTTATTTCATCACTACTTTTGTCCCTCTCTTAATCCAGGTACTCCCTCAGTATTCTGTCATGGCCCATGTATTTTTTATGAAAACTTTTATTGCTTAAGTATGTTATAAGGATTTTGAACAAGGGAGACAGTAAAGTCAGATTTGCATTTCAATACGTCATTTTCCTATCTCAACTTGTGTAACTTGTGAGCAGAGCAATTTCCCTTGGATAATCAAGAGTGATATTTTGGCTTTTCCACGACTGAGTAAAGAAAAGCAGTATGCCTATACAAACACAGCACAAGGCTGTCATTCAATTAGGAAAGAGGGTCTGCAGGTTTTTGCTCAGCTCAGAGCAAGAAGCCACCCCAGAGGGGCTACGTTAGTGTATGTGCTTTTCTGAGACAGAAGGAATCTAAACTGGATTTTTTATGAACAAACAGGAATCTACCAAGCAGACACAGATTGAAGAAAGGCATTGGGGAGAGAGGAAATAGTGTAAGGCTCAGAGGAGTACCCTGAAGAACTACAAGTGCTTTGATGTTCTGGAGCCTCAGAGGTCTCAGAGAAACTTTGTGGATTGTATCTAATATCGCTGTGGAGTTTTTCCTCTCTCATCAATGTGTTCCATAAAACCAATTTACGGTTAATTTATTTTATTATTTTTTTAACATTTATTTACTTTTGAGAAAGGGAGAGAGACAGGGTGTGAGCAGGTAAGGGGCAGAGAGAGAGAAGGGGAGACACAGAATCCGAAGCAAGCTCCAGACTCTGAGCTGTCAGCACAGAGCCCAATGGGGGCTTGAACCCACGAACCATAAGATCATGACCTGAACCAAAGTCGGACGCTTAACTAACTGAGCCACCCAGGCACCCCAACCAATTTAATGTTAATTTAAATTGAAAGGCAAGACATCAAAGGAGACTCAGAATATACAACATATTTAAGAAATAAACGCTAATGATGACATTGGCAGACCTACTCAGTCCTGTCCTTGACTGAATACTTCTGGCCACAGAATGCAAACAGATGTGACATGAGTGGATTTCCCCACCTGTGCTCTTGTACTCTGTGGATGCCAGGAGACGGACATACCCAGGCGAGCTCATTGGTCTCAGGAGGAGAAGGTAAGACACATGGAGCACAGCCACCAGCCTCAATCAATGCACCCCCCCCAGTTCATCAGGCAGACTTGTGAATGAAATATATGTCTGCTGATGTGTGCTTCTGAGACTTCTGTGGCTTGAGATTAAAACTGGGTATGCTTGTATAATGGAAAACTATACATCAGCAACATGGACACATCTCACAAACATACTGTTGAACAGCAAAAGCCAGACACAAGAGATTACACAGTGTGTTTCTAATTATGTGAAGTTTGAACACAGGGAAAATCTAATGGATGATGCTAGAATCGGGAAATAAAGGTCATGACTGAAAGAAGCATGAGGACCCCCAGGGTTCCAGGAAGACCTCAGTTCTTAATTTAACACACTGGGATGTTAAATGAACACCTTTGTTCATTTTGTGAAATGTAACCAAGCTGTACGCTTCTGATTTTGACGCTTTTCTGTATGTGTAAATGTGATATTTAACTAAAAAGTTTACATAGCACTTGAAAAAAAAAAGGGGGCGCCTGGGTGGCTTAGTCGGTTAAGCGTCCGACTTACGCTTAGGTCATGATCTTGCGGTTCGTGGGTTCGAGCCCCGCGTCGGGCTCTGTGCTGACTGCCAGCTCAGAGCCTGGAGCCTATTTCAGAGTCTGTGTCTCCCTCTCTCTCTGGCCCTCCCCTGCTCAAGCTGTCTCTCTCTCTCTCTCTCCTAGAAATAAATAAAAATATTAAAAAAAAAAAAAAGAAAAGAAAAAAAGAAAAAAAACTTACTGAGGTATGGAGACACAGCAGGGCAGTTGCTGAGGTCTGCTTCTTTCACGGATGCTTCCTTAGTCAGAGTGTCTCCCTTCTCCCAGACTAGGACCTTGTTGAAATTAGCCACGAAATTCTTTGCTTTAGGAATCTCTTGAATAGCACCCACAAAATAGTTACTGGTGGCCCACCCAAGCACTGTCAGGCCTAAGAGAAAAAGCAACAGTAACCGGAACTTGTAGGAAAGGTGCAAAGTCACTAAAAAGCCCATGTCTGTTATTACGGGAGAATTATGTATCCCTCTCCACTTCACCGCAGGCAGGAAGCTTCGAGTTCAACTCTTTCAATCCGATGGCAAACTTGGTGACAACTGAAGATGCAATGTCTGATTTCGTTCAGTAGTTCTGCTCCAACAATCTCTGGAAGGCAATCACAGAGACATGTTGTTTCACTTGGAAATCCTATCCTGGGTGACTCACGTCAGTGCAAACTGAAAACCTATCCCCAGAGGATCTCGACTAACAGTAAATGGGAATTCTCCAATGAAGGCTTTGATATCAGAAATTCGGATTTCAGAGGTAGAAGGTTCCAGCCATCTATACATCCCAGGAGTTCTGTCTGGGTTACCACTCAGGCTGACTGTCACCCAAGAAGAAAAGGCATTTCCAGATGTCGCACAGGAGGAGAAGGCAAAGAAGAGGTTGTAAAAGCTTCCTCAGTTCTGAGTCGGGCATGGCCCAAATTACAGCCCACCCAATTTTTTCTTTAGTGGCCCCTTTCTGGCACAGCTTTTAGAGCAGGTTAGCAATGTGTGAAATCTTGTATTTTGACTCAAAGAGAAAATAAGGAGACTCTTCTCTGTGACAGGTAGAAAAACATGTTCCGCAACAGGCATTAAAGTCCAGGCTGTTTCAGCTATAAATGTCACATTCACAATGAGGCGCTGGCACGGGGCACATCCCGACAGGTGGGGGTGAGGGCCAGAAACAGAAGAGAATGCCAACACAGGCGCTCAGCAATCTGTAAGACTAACAGGTAGAACTACAGTGCAGTGTTTAAGATCAGTGGTTTGGATTTGGGCAGAAACTATAGCTCGACCACATATCAGCCATGACACCTCAAGCCAGTCACTTGACTAATCTCAGTCTCCTTACCTGTAAAACAGGGATAAAAACAGTAGCTCCCTCAAGAGGTTACTGTGGGGCTGGACGTCCTAATGTACTATACATAAAGTGCTAGCCCACCTCCTGACACACAGCAAGCACCAAGCAAGTGGTGACCAAGCTCTTATTGTTCTATTACTTACATAAAGCGACTCTAGACTAAGGATGGCCAGCAGGTGGACAGGACACACTGGTGGCTGCCCCAAGCACCACCCTATTGTACTGTATTTCTCACTGTCAGTTGATGAATTGTCATTCTAATTTCATACTTCACAAGCATGTGGTGAATTCACTTCTGAATTTTAAGTAATAATGAAAACAAGTATGACCAAATCTTAAATAAAAGAAAATCAGAAATAAACTCTGTATGTGTGTATGATTACCACTAAAACTATAGAAATAAAACTCTAGAGAGAAATATTAGCCAAAAGCTAACAAGAATTACACTGAGTAGGGATTAGCCAAGCATACTTTTTCTCTTTTTGGGAATTTTGTATGATGTACTTCTGTCCTTTTATAGTGAAAATATAGTTGTTGAGTTTTGGTCTTTATTTTTTTAATTAGACATAGGGATCCCTAGGTGGTAATTCAATGTGAAAATGAAAAATAAAACAATCTTAGCACCTCCTCGAGATAGTCTCCTAGTTACTAAAGGGTAGAATTCCAAAAATTTAGCTCTAGGTTACTCTGAAAGAAACCCAGAAAGCATTTCTCTCTAGAGTCAATGTTATAAATGGAGATTAGATTCCTGAGTCAAGCCACAAAAAAGATTTGACTCAGGAAGCAATTAAACAGTATGGTCTGTGTTTAGGGTCTTGTGAAGGTATTGCAAGAAGTTGATGCCGAAGGCAGTAATAACAGCTAATAAGAAGAGTGATTTATTTGTGCATTTACTCTGTGGCATGCACTGGGGTTAAATCATTTGTATTAACTTACTTCTCATCTCAACTTTGCAAGGGAAGAATCATTAGTGTCATTTTATAGAGGAAAAAAAATGAAGGGAGATTAAAGAACATGCTCTCAACCACACAATTAGTAAGTGGTGGGGCTGGTGTCTGAACCCACAAGGCCAGGCCCAAAGCCTGACTCTGCCACACACTTCACATGGGCATTTCATTTCCTTCCTCATCTAGGTACCTGGGTGCACCCAACACAAACCCTTGAAATATGCAAAGTTCCCTTTGGCAGCCTCTCTCTCTCTCCCTCAGCTTCCTGCCCCTTTCCTTGGGACTGTGTTCACATGGCTTTTTGCTTCTGTAAGTCTACAGGTTCCTGGGGCCAATCAGACAACCTCTTGGGGACTGAGCTGTAGGAGGCTTAACTGCTAGAATTGGTAATAGTGGTTTTTTAGACGTTTTTGAAAAAAATTCCAGTTAGTTAACATACTGTGTAATATTAGTTTCAGGTGTACAATACAGTGATTCAACACTTCCATCTCAGTTTTGGAAAATTTAGACTGAGGCCATTGTTCTAAAAGCTGCTTATGGAGGGATAGTCCCCTGACAAGGAGACTCACCTGGCCGAAGAGACTTCTGATCACAGAGGTACTATAGTGTTAGAAGCAGAAATGACCAGAAAGCACATAAGTCCAGCACCTCCTCCTTTTATAGAGGGAGGAAGAGTGGTTTAGAGAAAATCTAACCAAGCAGTAGCAACCTGGGAATAATCATAGACTAGCTAAACTGCAGCCTACAGAATTTGTCCAAAAATAAAAAATTTATTATAAAAGCAAGGAGCCATTCTTAATGATTCAGTAACAATTAGCCCTTCACTGCTAACTCCACTTCTTGAGATATAGATCTACTTAAAAATAATCACTTCCCCTTTTTCCTAAGCTTAGTGCTATCCTCAAAACTGACTGTATAGGGAGCCAGCATCAAGAAAGTTCAAGTGTGAGGTCTCCTTGGTACCTGGGAGTGAACATCTGAGGTGTGAAGGGTCTATAACCCTGGTCCGATGGTCTTTCAAGAGAGATCTCCTGCTCGGCCTGCTTATCAGCTGAGTGATGAGAAGCAAGTTAATATGAATGATTTAACCCCAGTGCATGCCATAGAGTAAATGCACTCTCAACAAGTTTATCAAGCTATTAAACATAAATATATATATACTTATCTTAAAATGTTGCTATAAGAATGTAATGAGATGTTGCAACCAAACACAGCTGGTACATTCCCAGAACATTATAGTTATCAAGTCTATTTACCAATGTGATTCATGCTCAAATTTTATCAGAGTGCTAAGCAAGATAATGTTATCTTTGGAATTACATACTGAAACACAGAAAATTTTAATTTCCCTTTCTCTGTAATTTATTTTTCTTTTATGTGTATATATTATATTTATGATTTAAAAAATAATGATCTTTAAAAGAAAGTTTTTTCTAGGGCAGGTAACTCTTGGTTAATGTTAGGGAAATGTCACTGGACTGGATTTATTTATAATAACATTAAGTAATTGAGAGACCTTGAAACTACCCTTGAAAAAAGTTTCCTTATCAAGACAATCTCGGGGTGCATGGGTGGCTCAGTTGGTTAAGCGTCTGACTTCGGCTCGGGTCATGATCTTGCAGTCCATGGGTTCGAGCCCCACGTCAGGCTCTGTGCTGACAGTCAGCTCAGAGCCTGGAGCCTGTTTCAGATTCTGTATCTCCCTCTCTCCGACCGTCCCCTGCTCATGCTCTCTCTCTCTCTCTCTCTCAGAAATAAATAAAACATTAAAAAAAATAATAAAAAAATAAAGACACTCTCTTCAGCAAGTGGTACTGGGAAAACTGGATGGTGACATGCAGAAAAATGAACCTGGACCACTTTCTTATACCATACAGAAAAATAAACTCAAAATGAATGAAAGACATAAATGTAAGGCATGAAGCCTTAAAAATCCTTGAGGAGAAAGCAGGCCACAGCAGCTTCTTGCCTCAACACCTCTCCAGAGGCAAGGGAAACAAAAGCAAAAATGAACTATTGGGACCTCATTAAAATAAAAAGCTTCTTCACGGAGAAGGAAACAATCAGCAAGACTAAGAGGCAACCGATGGAATGGGAGAAGATCTTAGCAAATGACATATCAGATAAAAGGTTAGTATCCAAAATCTTTAAAGAACTTATCAAACTCAACACCCAAAAAAACAAATAATCCAGTGAAGAAATGGGCAAAAGACATGAATAGACATTTCTCCAAAGAAGACATCCAGAGAGCCAACGGACATATGAAAAAATGCTCAACTTCACTCATCATCCAGGAAATACAAATTAAAACCACGATGAGATACCACCTCATACCTGTCAGAATGGCTAACATTAATAAATCAGGCAATAACAGATACTGGCGAGGATGGACAGAAAGAGGATCTCTTTTGCACTGCTGGTCGGAATTCAAACTGGTGCAGCCCCTCTGGAAAACAGTATGGAGGTTCCTCAAAAAATAGAACTATCCTATGACCCAGCAATTGCACTACTAGGTATTTATCCAAGGGATACAGGTGTGCTGTTTCAAAGGGGCACACATGCTAGCAGCAATATCGACAACAGCCAAAGTATGGAAAGAGCCCAAATGTCCATTGATAGATGAATGGATAAAGAAGATGTGGTATATATGTGTGTGTGTCCACACACACACACTGGAGTATTACTTGGCAATCAAAAAGAATGAAATCTTGCCATTTGCAACTATGTGGATGGAACTTGAGGGTGTTATGTTAAGTGAAATTAGTCAGTCAGAGAAAGATAAATATCATATGACTTCACACATATGAGAACTTTAAGATACAAAACAGATGAACATAAGGGAAGGGAAGCTAAAATAATATAACAACAGGGAGGGGGACAAAACATAAGAGACTCTTAAATATGGAGAACAAACAGAGGGTTGCTGGAGGGGTTGTGGGAGGGAAGATGGGCAAAATAGGTAAGGGGCATTAAGGAATCTACTCCTGAAATCACTGTTGCACTATATGCTAACTAACTTGGATGTTAATTTAAAAAATAAATTATAGGCTCGAGGGCAAGATGGCGGAGAAGTAAGGAGCTCCGTACTTGCACTCGCGCCCATACATCACACAGAAAAGATCTGAAGCCATTGGAAACCTTACAAAACCTGAGAGATTGGGAGAAAAAGGACACAGAATCCACTGATAGAGCCTTCTAATGTGAGTGCGAACCGGGGAAGATAAAATCGGGCCGGGATCGGAGACTCCAGGGTGGGAGGCGATCCCCCTCTACCCTCTACGGGGAGTGAGAGGGGAAAAGGAGAGAGTCT